GAGAAACAGATATTAAAAAAAAAAAAAAACATAATTATGAAACTCCTAGCAAGTGCTACAACATAGGTATGAAGCAGATGTTCCAGAAAATGGGGAAAAGAAAAATTAATTCTGCCAGAAAGTCAGGACGGGGAGCACAGTCAGTAACCCATGTTTTGAAGATTGAGAGGCACGTCATGAATTAATATGGGAACGTCTGAATTCCTATGACCGTATAGGCTTTTGAGGGGCTCCGTACCATATGAATGAGCTTATGTTTTTCTGAAGGGTGTTATAGAAAAAAATGATTTGATGATCCTTATTATAGCATGTGAAACAGACATTCTTCAGGACCATCATGTTCGGTATGGGGCTGTGGCAATGGGATTTGGCAGTGGGGGAGAGAGACTGACCTTGTCAATATACAGGTGAGTGAGTGGGAATTTACAGTCAAGGAGGAGGGTGTGGGTGAGTGGATGGAGGATTACTAAAAGTATTACTAACAGGTACCATCGGGGCTCAGGGGGATTCTGGCTAAACCAATTTTTAGCCAAGATAGGCCAGAGTGATCAGACATCAGACATCACCATGGGATAGGAGGGATGAAGAGCTGAAGCAGATACTGAAGGTGATCAGATAATGTGTGTGAGGATGGGGCTGTTTGCTAAACTGAGCAAGGTTCTTGCTACAACTGGATGTATTAAGGCAGGGCACAGCTGGGCTAGCAGAAGGTTCAGAAGCCTCACTACAGTTTGGTCAAGCAAAGAATCTTTGCTGAAGGCACCAGGCCTGGGCAAAGGGGATGACACAGTCAGACTTGGAGGAGGGGTGTAACTCTCTAAGAGTGATGGAGAGAGCAGATTAGCATGAGCAAGCCATGTCAAGAGTTTACAAAAAGATGATGGTCTGTACTAAGGGAAGATGGAGAGGAAAGGCGTCCCTGGAAGTACTTTATGACTTAGAATGAACTGGATTTTGTGACCACAAAACCAGGGTTGAAGAAGGAAGGAGCACGAGGTGATTTCAGCCCTGTAAGCAAGTGGCTGGTATTACTGTGCATAGTCATAATAGGGTCTGAGAATTTAGAGAATTCAGGCAGTGGGGAGGGGAAAGGGAGTTTCTGTGACGTACTTTTACTTGCTCAGCCAGCTGCATTTAAGAGTTGGCAACATGGACTGGTTCAGTGGCCTGTAATCCTAGCACACTGAGAGGCCACCGTGAGTGGTTTGCTTGAGCTCACGAGTTCGAGACCAGCCTGAGCAAGCACAGGATCGTCTCTACTAAAAATAGAAAAACTAGCTGGGTATTGTGGCAGGAGCCTGTAGTCCCAGCTACCCAGGAGGCTGAGGCAAGAGAATCGCTCAAGCCTAAGAGTTTGAGGTTGCTATTAGCTATGGTGACACCACAGCACTCTACGCAGGGCAACAGAGTGAGGCCCTGTCTCAGAAAAAAAGAGGGAGTGACACAGATGCAGCTGTTAAATTGGGCATCAGTTAGGGAAGGTGTGGAGAGCTTTACACACCTGTCATATGCTGGTCCTACAAAAAATGAAGACACAAACCCTCAACATTTTGCATATAGCTTCGGGTGGGTTCATGGAGCTCCTATCTATGATAGAGAATCCATGGATCTCAGCGTAGGAATTTCTGGGGTGGCCCAACACCCAGGGAAGAGTATCTGTATTGCAGATATTTAATGGGTGAGAACGTATCCCTATAGTTAAATGATGCATGACCACATAAATAGGAAATAAATTGCTAAGATGAGTTTTGGTAACAAATAAGAGTTACATTCATCATGCTTAATGACAGTACATGCAATTTCTTAGAATTGCCAACTCTCATGCCATTTGTCAGATATCTGCTCATGTTAAAAAAAACAAACAAACTTCTCTTGCTATTTGTTCATTCATCTGTCCCATTTATTCAGTAGCAAATACTAATGGTTGGCACTGTTTAATGAGTGTCCACCATGTGAAACCACTGTGCTGGGTACTAGGGACACAAAGACAAGGCTACTACTCCAAGAGCTTTACCATCCAGCTGGGGAAAGCTTATGTTACAAGGAAACTAATTAGCAACAGTGAAATATCTGTGGGAAGAGATATGTGCAGTGAGTGTTAAACAAAGTTGGAAAGAGCACCAAAGTGCACCTAGGATTTGTAACAAAGAAGTTTAGGGAAAGATTCTCTAGGGGACAAACAGGCTTTGTTCTGCAGGATGAATTAGACTTAGCTTGGCAATGATCCACAGTAATAAATAACACAGTAGCGAAGCTATCTGTTGTGGGACACACAAGCACTTCAGAATGGCTCGAGTACAAGAAATGGAGAAAGCCAATGGGTAGAAATGAGATTGGACAGCTAAGCTGGGCCAGGACAGAGGGCCGAAGTGCAAGACATTCCAAAGACAGGCAGGTGACGTAGTGTGAACAAGCCTCATTTGGGACAGCATTGTGGGGCTCAGGACAGTGAATTGGGGACCACAGAACCAAGAAAAAGCACTCAAATTCAATTAAAAGAAAAAAAAGAAATCTTCACTTGCTAGGCAAACAAAAATAGCTAGTTTGCGACTGGTGGCACAAACAAGGATCTTTGAGTCTTTGGACTTTATACTATGTGTGGTGGAATGCCATTATTAGGAGTTTAAACACAGGACTAGGCTGGGCGTGGTGGCTCACACCTGTAACCTTAGCACTCTGGGAACTGGAGGCAGGTGGATTACTCAAGCTCAGGAGTTCAAAGCTAGCCTGAGCACAAGTGAGACACTGTCTCTACTAAAAAAAAAAAAAAAAACAAACCAAAAAACGAAAAACAAAAAACAACTAACTGGGCTTTGTGGTAAGTGCCTGCAGTCACAGCTACTCCGGAGGCTGAGGCAAGAGCATCACTTGAGCCCAGAAGTTTGAGGTTGCTGTGAGCCATGATGATGCCACTGCACTCTTCTCAGGGTAACAGAGTGAGAATGTCTTAAACAAACAAAAACCAAACAAACACCCCCTTCCCCCCCAAAAAACTAAACAGAGTACTAGATAATCAGACTTTTATAAAAGATGAACTGGGCTCGGCGCCTGTGGCTCAAGTGGCTAAGGCGCCAGCCACATACATCTAAGGTGGCGGGTTCGAATCCAGCCCAGGCCCGCCAAACAACAATGACGGCTGCAACCAAAAAATGGCCCGGCGTTGTGGCAGGCGCCTGTGGTCCCAGCTACTTGGGAGGCTGAGGCAGGAGACTTGCTTGAGCCCAGGAGTTGGAGGTTGCTGTGAGCAGTGAAGCCATAGCACTCTAGCCAGGGGCTCAGCTTGAGGCTCTGTCTCAAAAAAAAAAAAAAAAAAAAAGATGAACTGGTGACATCATAGAGACTGGATCTAAGGGGACAAGCCTGGGAAGGTAACTGGAAAGGTGGTGACCTGAAAGAAGATAATGGCAGTGGCTCTAAAGGGGAATTGGATACATTAGAGGGTGTTGCAGAGCTAGAGGCAAAGGGACTCAGTAGTGGACTGAAGGGGAAACAGGACAAACAAAAACTCAAGAGCCACAGAAAACCTGAAAATATTATTATATTGGCTTCTATTGGCTTGCTCAAAGGCTTTAAATATTAAATCCAAAATTAAGTTGAAGCAGTGAACTGAAACGACGATCTTCATCTTCTTTCTTTCAATTCGTTTGAAATTTAGTTTCACGAGTTACCTTCTGGCAATCTGGAATTAAACTTCTGAGATTGCTGTCAATTATTTCCTTTCCAGCTTTCACTTCCTCTTTCATTACTTCCCTATTTGATTCTTTGTATTTTATTGTTTTAGTTGAATGCTAAAATATCTTACCAAAACTTAGTTCACGCACCAAAAGAACTGTGGCGCCCCTGAACACCTGAAATTTGTCTCCTCTTCAGAATTTTTAGATTTCCGAAAGTTTCCAAAATGCTACTTATAAATGTGGCTACGCAGTGTTATTGTCATGCGTAAGTTCGCTTTTTTTCAGCAGAGACCTGTAGCCTTATAGTCAAGATTATTTCATTGTCTTAAAACAAGCTTCCTTTCATCACAAAGGCGATGTATGGTTTCATCGTATAATTCACATTTGCACAAGTACTTCATTTTTAATTTTAAAAGATGACTCACAGATATGTCGCTTATAAAACCCGTAAAATTTAAAAGGCCGATACTAAAGGGGGTCTAAAAGGCAAATGCAGCGGCGGGGGTGGGAGGGGAAAGCCTGGAGGTGCAAAGTCCAGGTGAGGCCCGGTCTCCAACGTCGGGATGGAAAGTTGGCAGCGCCGCAGGGTCGCAGCCGGCGGCTCCGGGGCCGGGTTTGCGGTGGCCGCGCTCCCGCTCCGCGCGGGCTCCCGAGGGTCGGGGCGCACATCGGGCCCGGTTCCTTGATCTGTCCCTGAGTAACTCTGTCCCCGTTCGCACGGAGCCGAGACTGAGCGGTCCCAGCGTCCCACCGGAGAGGCCCCGGAGTTCTGGACACACCCCCGCGGCGGCGGAGGCAGCAGGAGGAACCAGCTCGCCCGGCGG